AAGTGGGAGGAGAGGGAGGGGAGGCTGCGGTCAGGATATAAAATAAACAAATAAATGTGAAAAAAGAGAGAGCAGGCCAACTCTGACAGGGTGCTTGGTAGTATGAATTCCATGGACACACTGCTTTAGGAACCATTCCCTTCCTCAAAAGCCTATCATGAGCCAGTGACATGGCTCAGCAGGTAAAGGTACTTGCCACACACGCTGACAACCCCAGTGTGATGGAACCCATGGACAGAACCAACTCCAAAAAACTGTCCTCAGACTTCATAGGCATGGTATGGAATGCATGCACACCCTCCCCCATCATATACACAGCAATGAAGGTTTTTTGTTTGTTTTAAGGCCTATCATAGTTCCTAAATGGCCTTTAAATAAAATTAAAGCTCTCACGCATTGGCTCTAAAGCTATCTACCAACAGGCCAGACCCTCTGCATCTGCCATGATCACCAAGACCATCCTTTATATCCCAACTCTTTCTTGTGTGCCAGGTCCTGCTCCTGTCCATGGTTCCCCCCAACTGCACCTGGCCAGAGACTTCGTCCTCTCCTGGCCCCCTTGTTTCATGTGCTTCTACTGTCGGGGGTTTGGAGGTCTGTTCAGGCACCTGTCCCCAAGCTCCAGCCCTGGTGGTGGGTCAGTCTGTGGCCCACTTTCTGCAGATTTCTGGTGTGTCGACTTTACATTCTCTGTTACATGGCAAGTTCCTGAAGAGAAAACTTTTTTGCCTGCTTCTGTCCTGGTCTGGGGCATAAGCCCCAGTATTCTGAGCAACCGGGAAGGCTGAAAATAAGAGGCACTGGGTAGTAGAGCACATGGCACATGCTTACATTCCTCCAAGCGGAAGCTGCCCATGTGGTACCTGGATGGAACTCATGGCCCTCTTTGTTCATGATAGGTTAAGGCTGGGGCAGAGGCAGGTCCCAGCCTGTTTGGTGTTACCTTCCTTCCCAGAGACCTTGCCCTTGATAGCCAGGTGTCCAGCCCTGCCACACTGTCACTTCTGTGGTTTTACTCTCTTGGTGCATAAGGAGGTAGAGCCGGGCCCCCTGCTGCCACTTGACAAGACCAGAGCAGGGGCAGCAGCGGGGGTTTGGCAGGCCCTGTTTCAGTCAACCTGAGGCTATTGCCCACTGTGGAAGGATGAGGCAGGCCTCTGTGCTGGCCCTCACTTAGCTGAGAGAGGTCAGTGGACCCTATCTTCAGGGGGGGCAAACCTTTTAAGGAAAGAGCGGGTGACAATGTGGATGAAAGACGGGCAGGGCAGCGGAGTGCTAATGGGATGCCCATCTGGTGTCTTCAGGCCAGACAAGGTCGTGGTGAGACCAGAGAGGCTGAGGTTCCTGCCAGGCTGAAACTAGTACCTCATCTCCCCCAGGGCTCAGGGCAGCAATGTGATAAAGCCTGCTTCCTCAGCAGTCATAGTCCTTTCCTGCACATCCCAGGAAGGCTCTGGAGTGGGGGATGGCAGTGAGGGGGGTCGGGCCTGCGTCATAGCTCGTGCTGACTTCTCCACCCTCAGTGGCCCTGGCGGCTATAAATACCACTTCATTCTCTGGATGCTGCAGGAGATGACCCAGAATCGTGGGCTTGCAGGCCTCCTGGGGCCCCCTCCCTGCTCATTTCAGATGAAGCCTGTCTGACCAGAACATCCTTGCGGCTGGAGAGTCAGCTCCCTAACTGAAGCAGGGCGAGACCAGAGCGACTGCCAAGACCCAAGCAATGCCTCAGCTAGCCATGGGAAACCCCAAACCCAAAGGACAGTACTTTGACTTCAACCCTCTTCACAGGCTAGATACCAAAGAGACAGTGCCCAAGAACACCAGACACCAAGACCTGCTGCCATCTGTACCACTACCCCACCTCTTGGGCCTTGGGCTCTCTCCAGAGCCCCCACTTAGAGCAGAAAGCTCCAAAGCCAATGGATTCTAAGCCATCTTCTTTACCTTCTTGGTCTCACAGGCTCTGTGTGGTTTTTGGTTCAAACTGGATTCCAAACATGTCATCACCCTGGGAGCCTCTTTGGGACATACTCCACTTTGTCAGGGACCTTTAGAGTGCTTAGCCGTTGTTTAGACAGGTGGCAGCTTCCTCCTCCTACCTGGCAGCCTGCCTCTGAGGGAGACTGGCTGACCAGGAGCACAGGGAAGAAGGTGGTCCCCAGACATGGAAGAGTGGGGACATCAATCCTCACAGTGCTGGGGTTTGGTTCCAAGTTTCCTAGCTTGGGACAAGGCAGGCTTCAAGAGAAGACAAGAAACAGCTAACTGAGGAGATCCCAGGGCCATGTGAACATAGGTGTGATCTGGCCAAGCAGTTCCTTCCTGTAGCCACCCTCTACCCACTGAACAATCAGAGTGCCCACCACACGCCAAGGACCTATGGGGTGGGAAAAAAGAAAAGCTGAGATGGAGTGGTGGAGATAGAGGTCAGATTTCCATGGCACCTACAGTCCAGAAGGAAAAGGAGAAGCCATGCTAATTTTCACATATGAAGAGACAGAGAGGTCACACAGTCCTGAGTGTGGCCTCCCAGAGAACATGGAGCTGGAATTGGGTCAATCGAGGCAGAGAGACCACAGGAGAGAGTAGGAGGGGAACAAGCACAGAGCAAACACCTCTATACAAGCTACATGTGAGGAAACAGAGAGTGGGGACAAGTCCAGGTTAGCAGGGAAGGGACAGAGAGACAGCTGAGGGGCAGATTGGTAGGACAGCATGACAGGGCCTTGTGGGACTTTAGCTGAGGCAGATGTGAGGTAAAAGAATGTGTATGGTCCAGGTTGAGAGTCAGCATTCAAAACAGTGACAGGCAGGACACCGGGCTGGGCAGTGGACAGTAGGTCCTGTAGGGATGCCTTTAAATCGAAGGTCTGGAGCTACCAACCCCCACCCAAAAGCACCATATTTCCAAAGAGTTCTGGTTCAGCCCAGTTCTGATTTAGATGACCTGCGCACGAATAAGCCAGAGCATGCCCATGGAGGGTAACACTAGGGAGTGGTCACTGGGTTCTGTTCCCAAAGTATGTTCAGAGTTTGAGGCACTTCCCCTGAATGGTCAATTCCTCACTCTTGTTGTCACCCAGCCCTGACCATGATAATAACCATACAGGAAGGCTTCACTCAGAAGAATGCAGCTAATGCAAACAGGGAAGGAAATGGAGGGCAAATCTATCTGAAGTCAACCATCCACCAATCCATTCATCCAATTATCCATTCACTAAACCATACATCCATGTATCCATCCAGCCATTCATTCACCCAGGCACCTACCCATCCATGCATACATATACACACTCCAGCATCCATCCATGCATCCACCCACCCATCCATCCATCCATCCATCCACGCTTCTATCTACCCTCTGACCTACATAATACATCTGTCCATCAACTTACTTTACTTAAGCATTTCATCTATACATCCTTTCTTCCTCTGTATCTCTCCTATTTTGACTCATTTCACAATGCCCATCACACTACAGTGTTCTTCCTCTCACACTGGGCTGCTGGTCCTGTAGGAGCTGGTCTCTGCCTACATTCACCTCCTCTCATGCTGTCTCATCTCTTTCCTAAACATGAGCCTTTACTCTGTTCTTACTTCTTTGCTTATTCCCCAACCTGTCTCTGAATGCCTGCCGCTCTGGTGTCATTCAGTTCCCAGCTCAGGAGTCCTCGCCTTGGGCCTGCCTGCCCTGTCTCAGGCAGCCTTCTCCATCACACAAGTCAGTTGCGTTTTCGTCTGTACTGTGTGCCGCCTAATACTCTCCACTTTTCTGTATGGCTCTCCCACCACAGTGTGGCTCCCCAGGGGCAAAGGCCTCTCCTGTGCTCCTCCCTACTATGTCCTCAGCACCCAGAAAATGGCCTAGCAGGTGGAAGGAGGTCACCAAGACTCTGCTGCCTGAAGGAAGAACCATTTCTGAGCAAAGCCCAAGAGACAGAAAGAGATGATGTAGCACCCAGTGCAGAGCTGTGCCCAGAACCCAGGGTTCTGATGGCTAGGCTGAAGTGCTTTCTTTGCCAGGATGTCAAAGTCCAAGCACAACTGCCCCTGTAGCAGAAACTCTGCAGGAGCTCCTGCTATAGTGAGTGTGCTTTGGGCAGGGCAGGAGTAATGTGGTATCTTCATTCTATGGAGGAAGCTTTAGCAGGAAAGAAAGGTTGAATGGTCTTCTTGTAGCGAAGTGAGGTTCTGTTGCCTAAAGGGCTTCCTAGCAGAGATAAGTCTGGTTCCCCCTCATCTCCCAGATCTGAGCTCCAGGTCTTCCTAGGCAGTGGGACTTGTGCCACCTTTGATAGGAATCTAGGAGAGATGGAAGGAGGAACTTAGAGAAGAGTCCCAAGGCCTGTGTCCTCAGGACAAAGCCAGAGGGATCAAACCCTCTCCCAATGACAGGGCCTGTGCCTTGGCCTGGGACCAAGGATGCAATGGCCGCCTGCCTGTAAACAAAGAACAGGGCCCAGGAAAGACTTTGTCTCTGGGTTCCCTTCTTTCCTGGCATCCTCAGTTTCTACCCTCTTCAGCCTCTGCCTCAGAAATGAAGCTCCCAGGAGATAAGGAGCTCAAGCCTGCTGTTGCCTTTCTCAGGGACCCTGCTATGCTCTTGGCATTATAAATGAGACAGAAATTACCTATGGCCTAACTCTATAGGGGGTTCTATTTTTGAAGTCTCCCAGAACAACTCTATTCAAACTGAACACCTGTGAGTCCGTGTGACCCAGGCAAGGCTCTAAGCCTGGGCTCCTCTTCATATGATGAAGACAGAAGCAGTCTCTCCATCCTTGGCCACTGGGGAAGGGAGGAAGATCCAGAGCACTGAGCCTGCTCTTGGGATGCTTACTCATTCTACCTCCTTCCCTGGGACTCCCATTTGCCCTCTGCCAGCTTGCTACAAGGAAGTATTACAATGGCCATGCCCCATTACTCCTGTGAATGCCCACAAGACACCCTGCCATAGGGTGGTAGGGTTCACCTTAGATACTCTTCTTCCTGCTTACCCCAGGACAATTCCAAAGAGACCAAGGAAGGGTACGGAGGAGTTTTCACCCTAATACTTCTTACTCGGAGGCTGAGAGCTGAGAAGGGCAGAAGGTTGGTGCTGGAGCTAAGGTTGGATAATGGCTGGTTTGAAGTCCCTGTGGTCCATGGGTGCCAGCCTTTCCCCATCATCTGCACAGAGCCTCCTCATAGCTCTTCTGGGGCTTTGACAGGATGCATGAGATCACGTCTGGGAAGTGCTCAGAGAGAAAAGGCCGGAGGGATAGAGGTAGGATTAATTATGTATTAATGTGTTTATTTTATTAGTAGTTCTGTTGACTGCAGGGGCAGAGTGGGAAACGCACAGGACTTGGGGTCAGTCAGTGTGAGCTACAACTGGGCCTGGTCACTTAACAGTTATGTGCAAGGTGCATTCTCTTTGAGCTCCGATGACTGGAGAAGAGGAATAACAACTATGGGATGCTGGTGGAAGAGCAATTCAGACCAGTTTTCTTACCTGTAAATGAGAATGACGGGAGTCACAGACCACAGGGTTGCTCATGGGGAGAAGTGATGCAGGCACCTGGTACCAAGGTGTGTATGAATAGTAAATAGTGGGCATTCCTTCCACCACTGGAGGACAAGGCATAGGAAGAAATCCCCCAGGGTGGGCTCTGTGGTGCCCACCCCCCAAAACTAGCCAACTATGCTTGTTACCAAGCAGCATGCTGAGACAACTTCCCCCATCCCCATGTCCATACCAGAATCACCCATCCTGCTTAGTCTTGGGTACCCAGGATCTCCACAGCTAGAAGCCAAAGGTTATCTCTGTCATGTCAGACTGCCTTCTCATCCTTAGCACATGGTGAACTCTCCCAGGCCATTCTGAAAGTGACCAGGCAACCTCTTGCTGTTGTGCCCACTTGGAAAGGTTGTTACCAAGTCTGAGCAAATGTGCTCTCCCAGCCACCCTGGGTTTACAAAGCTCTTCACTCATAGGAGGTATAGCCCAGCCTCTTTGTGACAGTCTGTTTGTCCTCATGGCTCACGTGGGCAGGTACCTAGTGACACAGAGGTTATGGGTCATAGTGTTGACTTTGTTAAAGGTGTCTATAAAGCAGAATGGAAACTCAAAGATGGTGCTTAGAGTTCCCATTTTCTAGGACTGGAACCACTCCACAAGGCTGGCCATAGGCAAGTCTACAGGAAGTGAGGTACCTGGCTGCTTGCCTAGCTAATGCAAGTCCCATTTTGGGCTGCCAGCTAAAGGAGAAAAGGGGTTCCTCATCCTTGGATCTAGTTACTATTTATTTAGCCTGTTCCCTTTGACCCAGAGGACCCAGATCACAGTCTCCAGGAGCCGGTGTGGATAAGCTCCGTCAGGCCAGGGCAGACCTTTAGGAGGCAGAACAGCAGAGGAGAAGTTCAAGTTGCTGAAGCAGATTCAGCTAAAAGGGGTGAGGGAAGGTCAGGGATAGGATGGCTTGGACCAAGACAAGCTTTCCTGCTAGGAGGAAGGGTAAGAGGCCTGCAGACTGGCCATTCCAGGACAGAAAGGAGCAGATGTGTGTGTACAGGGCTCCTGGCTCTGGCCATGTGTTCCTCTGTCCAGCCATACAAAAGTCCCATTCATGCTGCCCCTCACCCCCGCATCCTGGGGCCAGTGCCCCAGAACAGGGCTCTGGGGGCCTCTCCTGCTCCTAGCTGACAGTCCAGCTGTTGCTGCTGCCGCTGCTGCTGTCCAGGCATGCCAGGCATGCCAGGCCTGGGCAATATGAAGTCACATGCTCTGCGCGGGCGAGGCCATGCACTGGCTGGGAGAGTGTCAGGGAGCACAGGAAGGTACAGGTTCACGTGCAGTACAGGATCTTCAGAAAAGCTGGGTGCCAAGAAGCATTGCCACCTGCCTGCCTTCCTGCTCAGTCCCGCCCATTTTCCAGAAGGGCAAATCCTTGGGCAAACAGTCAGACAGGTACAAAAGGCAAAGCAAAAGGCGGGGCAGGAAAAAGCAAACACCAAAGCCTCTGCTCTGCCCGCTGCCTTGCTGGATTGTGTTCTGGTGGGCCTGCCTGTATGGTCACGAGTGTCCCAACACTTGGGCTGTGGTAGCTGGAGAGTCTCAAAGAATAAATGAGCTGCCTCCCTGCTATGCGCTCCCCCAGAGGGCCTGACTATGAAACTGGGGAGGCAGCAACAATGGTCAGGGCCCCGAGGCCTCCAAACTGGGCTCTGACAGTTGCCTGCCACCCACCTAGGCCTGCCACACATTCCCCTCAAGCTTTGTCTAGGGGACTGGGTGAGTAACTCCACAGGAGACATGCTGGAGAGGGACAGGCTCACCTGGGCTTAGAGTCTGCTGAAGAACTTTGAGCAAGTCATAGGGCATTGGGGCCAGTGAATCTTACCACTCATAACCTTCAAAGTTAATTGGATGAGGCTTTTGTGGGAGTCCTTGGCATGCGTCTGGCAGGAGAGATACTCTTAAGAGAGATTCTTGTGCCCCTCCCTTTGGCTATCAGGCTATGGAAACAATAGTCCCCAAAGAATTTTAAAATGTCCCTAGGAATCCCATGCTGGGGACGAGAAAGGCTGAAGCCTGGTGCCAGAGGAGAAACTTGCCTCCTAGGAAGAGATTTCACATAATCCTCACCACCTTACAGGACAGACTGAAGCAGAGTCAATGATCAGTGGGCCACACCCTGACCAGGACTGTTTAGTTAAACGTACCTCTTGACCTCTATTTAGACCTAAGCCCCCATGCCAGGAACCTGGAGACAGATGTGGAGGGGTCACTGGACCCGTCCATGTCTTCTTCCCCTCAGCATGGCTGTGTTGAGCTCTCTCTTTTCACTACTGCTTGTCTCTAACTGGCCAACAGGGAACAGATGGTCAATCTAGCTTGTTGGGTCTGCCAGAGCCCAGGCTTTGACCCTAACAGCTCCAGTAACAGACACAGGGTTCAGCACACACAAGCCACTCACTGCATGGATGCTTAGCCTAGAGCTGCCTGTGGGTGTGGGTGGCCTGGGGGCAGGTTCAGAATGAGGAGTAGTGCTAGAGGGGTCTAGCATGCTCACCCAGCTGTTCTTGGACCTCATGGACAAACCATGCCAACACCTGACCACTGGCCTGTGGCTATAGGACCAGGCAGGAGGAAAGGATAGGCCACATCTACTCCAGTGTCAGGGTCTGCTCTTGCTGGCCTCAAACCCAGGGCAGAACCCCTAGAACTGAGAGTGATTCCTGCCACTCACTTTTGGAGCTTTGGCTTTAGAACCCCAACCTAGATGCTAACAGAGAACAGGCTATATTCTCAGGGTCCAGTAGAGGCAATGTGGTCTTCTTTTGTTCCATGTGTCTCAGTTGGGCTGCGCTGCAGGCAGGGCTCTTCAGGTCTCCTGTTCTCAGCTTACAATGCTTTCCCCAATCTTGCTGTTTACAGAGCTGTTCAGGTTTCCCAGGTTTAGCCCCTAAACAACCCCTCCAAGACACTGTTGGGGCCCACCAACCCCTCAGATGGAACAGCTGATGCTCCTTCATCCCGCACTCCCTGAAGGCTGGGGGCTGCTATGGGGCAGGGCTGCACACCCTGCATCTCCATGTCCTTGGCATCCAGCACAGAGCCTGGTGCCTAGCAGCTGCTCAAGAAATGTCAAACAAGGCCCCAGCCCAGCTCCTTGCTCCGCAGATCACGCTGCCAGCACACTTAGCCAAGAGGATTCAAAGTCAGCTAGCAGGAACAGAGCGAGACTGTGTCCCTGAGCTGGGGAGTTCGAGGCTTCTGCTCCTTCTGAAAGTGCCCACCTTGCATGCATCAATCTTCACCCACAATCAGAGGCAGCTCTGGGGACGTGAAGGCTGCCTCCCCATCTCCAAAAGCAGAAACCAAAGTTAACAGGGGGTGAGCAAGGGAGGTGCACCGGAACTGCAGGGAGAAAGGCAGTTGTGGCTGCCATCTGCTGTGAGCAAGATGTTTGGAGAACACACGCTCCTAGCTCTGAGGTCTCCCAGCCAACATGGGAGGGTGGGGTGGCCTCTCTGCAGATGGGAGCAGGCAGCTCAGCCAAGACCTGAGAGGCCACTGAGGGGTGCTAGGGCCAGTCCTACCCACCCAAACTCTGTAGCTGCACCTGCCTGGCCTTCTGATTCTTGAGCATATGGGGGCCAGGATGCTATGGACTTTGGGGAGTCAATTCTATAATATGACAATGGCAACTTAAACGTAAGGGTAATAAGGACAACAGTATCAGTTACTGTTAACGGAAAACATAGTTGCTTGTCTGAGTCTCTTCCAGCCATCACCTCATTTCACCCCATCATTCTCACAGGAGAAGGGCAAAGAGAGTCCAAGAAAGGGTGACTAGTCGCTGTTCCTCCCTGTAGTGGGGCTTGGCTAACTAGGACCCACCCAAACAAGGTTCTGGGGTCCTTGACTATTTTTGTTCATTTGTTTTTGTTCTTCGAGACAGGGTCTCTCTGAGTAGTCTTGGCTGCCCTGGAAGTCACTTTGTAGACCTGACTGGCCTTGAACTCGGAGATCCACCTGTTTCTGCCTCCCAAGTGCTGGAATTAAAGACCTGGGCCACCACTGTTCAGCTGGTCCTTGACTAGTTTTTTCCCCTCAAGACAGGGTTTCTCTGTGTAGCCCTGGCTGTCCTTAGACCAGGATGGTCTTGAACTCACAGAGATCTGTCTGCCCTACCTCACGATTGCTGAGATTAAAGATGTGCACCACTGAAGACCAAGGATACAAAGACCTGTTATAGTCCACATGCACTCATCAGCAGGAAGGAAGAAAACTCTAGAACTCTGCCGGCTCCCCAAGTTCCTACAGCTTTGCTCCACCCTGGTATAGGACTGGTGTCACCTTCCTGTCCTCAGCAATGCCTAACTTACCACACAGGGCTACCCTGCTTCCATACACACAGCTTGACACATTTTCTTTAAAGAGAGCACCTTAGAGGGAGAAGACTATGCTCACCCACTGGGAAGAACCATCCCAGCTGGAACCTGATGCTCTTTAATGTCACCCAAGTATGTTGTCGGTTTAGGTCACATCTGGCTTAGTCTCGGTGCTCCCTTCCCCAGTTGTGGGCCAAGCTGAGTACCAGGTTAGGCTTAAATCTGGTCAAGCCTAGGCTTGCCAGCCTCATTCCTGCCTGGGACACCTCACCACTGTGCCTGTCTACAAGGAATCTGCACCCTTCAGCCCAGATGTGTTACAGACATTCAGATACCCTGCTTGTCAGAGGTGCTGGCTCTGGCACCTGACCAACACACTGCCACATTTCTCACAAGGCTGGATGGATGCGTGTCATAACTAAAATCATGCCAGGGTCCCAATGCTCACTTCTAGAGGCAACCATCCCCACAGCTACGCTAGTCCAGGGAGTCAGGGGGCAACACCCTCCCCCATCGGAAACAGGAAGACAGAGAATCTGGGGCTAGTCACCCAGAACTGCACATCCCCCCAACCCACCCCCAGCTCTCCCCTCTCAGCACTGCTGCCATCGCCCCCACAGGCCTGCTAGCAAGCCATGCACTCCAGTGCTGTCTGCTCAGTCCTCCCCCGCCCCGCCCCTCCCCACACTGTGATTGCAACACCTCTGTCCTCCCGCCTGCCTGCCGAGGGAGGCCTGAGGACCAAGAACACAGGACCTGTCGGTTTTTTGGTGGGGGTGGGGGGAGCCAACAGTGTTCTCCTTTTCCCCAGGGGTCCTTGGCCACAGCTGGGTCACTGGGCTGACCCCACTTCCTGTCTCTCACAGTCCTCAGCCTGGTGGCCCTGCCTGTGTCTGGAAAGTGCCTCTGAATCAACAGCTTCCTTATTCCCGTGGTCTCTTGTCAAGGGCAGGGCCAGGATGGCCTTCGGCCCAGGAATTTTCAGGAGTAGCCAAGCTCAAGACCTGAGCCTTACTTGTCTCATGTTGGGAAGTAGGGGAGGTGGGCTCTGGTATCCCTGGAATGTTGTACTGACTCACCCCATCCTGGGACTGAGTGTGAGTCGCTGTCACCACCCAGACACCTTCACAACTCCTGCCTCAGCAAAGGCACAGTCAGGCCCAGTGTGAGTCAGCCAGGGAAGTCCCAGCATTAGCACCCACCACTGGAGAGCCTCCGCTGACACCTATGAGTGGGGCATCCAGCCCCTCCCACAGAGGGTGAGAGGAACACCCGGGCTCCCTGAGAAGAGATAGGCAGGTGGAGCAGGAGGAAGTCACACTGCAGACACCCTTTTCAGGGTAGGCCATGGGCACCCTTTCGGTAAGCCATGGGCACACAGCTGCCTCCTATAGCCTCTAACCCATCAGGCATGGCACATTAGCAGAGAGGAGTCCCTGGCGGTTCCTGCTCAGTGCCAGGTACCCTGGCCTCTGAGTACCCTGCTTTCCAGGTTTTGGCACCTGTATGGCTCCAGAAGATGATGGGGGCCTACCTCATTCTTGAGGGGCCTCCTCTTTGTCAAGCCAGATGGAAGGAGGACCAAGGCCCAGCCCAGAGGTCCACCCCATCCCCTTTCCAGGAGGTGAGACCGAGGCCAAGCAGAAAACAAGGCCAGGAGGGAACCAGGCAGAGCCAGCAAGAAGTCCTCTTCTAGAAGAAACAGAAAAGATGGCCAAGCCTGTAAACCCACCAGACCGGTTGGTGCTAGAGGTCACTGGCCACCTCCTGCGGCTTGCTTGACAGTGCAAAAAAGATTGCTGCTTTTTGCAGCTGTAACATCCTGCCTCAGGATGCCCTCTTCTCCCCCCACCACACACACACACACACACACACACACACACACACCTCTATCCCTTTCTGCTATGGCCTGGGAACTCCCAGACCAGGAGGCATTGGCCACATTCTGCAGGACCACAGAAGATGCCACAGTTCAACCTCTAGGAGTTCTCTGGTCAGATTGACAAGGAAACCCAAGGTGGGCCAGTCAGTATGGGGTTACAATGCAAGAGACCTCAGAAGGGGGTCAGTGCTCAGTCAGCAGACAGAAGAGACATCCAAGTGGGAAGATGCCTGTCTGGCTCATATTTCCTTCCCTCCTTCCACCCCAGGACCAAATGGCAGATACACCTTGCACGGGGCCCACTCTCCTGCCACTGCCTCCAGGAGGCCCCAGAGCTGAGCATCATTATTAGTTCCCCACAACCTTCTCTGGGCCACGTGAAAAAGTAGCTCCCCTGGGTTCCTGGACTAGGGGGTGCACACTGGAGAAGACATAGAGGCCAGGGGCTGCTTCTCCACTTTCTGGGGTCACATGCCTGCTGGCTGTGCCCCGGGCAGGTATTAGAGATCCCCGTCCAAGGGGTGTGGGCTGTGATAGACAGCTGGAAGAGCTCCCATTAGGCTTCTCCAGCCCCTGTTAGCTGGGTTTGATCTTCAGCTCCTGCTGGGCTTCTCCTTTCTTGGTTCTTCCTAAAACTGGGCCTCTTGCACTTCCGGGGTAGGGAAGTGGGTGGTGGGAGAGATTCAGAAACCCATCCACTATGTTGAAAGAAGACTGGAAACTTTCGGCCATATAAATCTCCTGGGTTTACTCAAATGTCATGAATGGCTTTCTCCTACCCCTTGCACAGGCGTGTGTGTGCAGACACACACACACACCACACAAACTGAGCCACGCAAAGGAAAATAGTAGCTCAAAGCACTAAGTCTCAGGGTTGCTGGGCTGCTGGAAGTGAGGTCTTACACACAAAACCAGGCATTGGGGCACTCATGAGGCAGCTCAGACCAGGAAAGAAAGAGAGAAAGCAGGGCAGACCCCACCCACGAGATCCTGGAGGCCAACCTCAGGGCCAGGTTCACTCAGGGCCCCCTAGGTCTCTCAGTGGGTCTACACAGTCTCCCACCACTCACCATATCCCTATGGCCACAGGCATGAAGGCCTAGATACCAGAGACAGACAGCCCTGATCAAGCCCTTGTCTATCGAGGGGACCATGTGCCAGCAGCCACTTAGATACAAACCTGGCAGCTGAACAGACAGGAGAGGTCTTCTCCGGAAACCTAAGCAGCTCAAAAGACCAGACAGTAGAGGAGGAATGGGAAGGAAAGCAACACACTACAGACCAGAGCAGAGCAACAAGTAAGTGCCAGAGTTAGAGTTCAGGCCTCTCCATCCTCACAATCTACAGACAAGGACCCGTAGCCTTTGGCATGGCCAAAGACACACAGCTTTGGGTTTTGGCCCATCAGAAATGCCACTCATGTCTCCTTTAGTCAACCATTACTCCCTTAGCATGAGGCTCTATGAGCCTAGATTCTGGAGTTTGTGTTTGGGCACGTAGGTGACACATTCTGATGGAAAATGAACTGTACTGCATGAGGGGGCTTTTGGCTGTCTCTCCCCACACCTTCCTCCTGTGTAGCAGAGATGGTGTCTTTTTTTTTTTTTTTTTAAAAGATTTTATTTACTTATTATGCTTCCATGCATATCTGCACACCAGAAGAGGGCACCAGATCTTATAATGGATGGTTGTGAGCCACCATGTGGTTGCTGGGAATTGAACTCAGGACCTCTGGAAGAGCAGTCAGTGCTCTCAACCTCTGAGCCATCTCTCCAGCCCCCCAGAGATGGTGTCTTTACCATCACCAGAGGGAAACAGAAACAGAGAGAAGCAAGAAACAGATCAATGTGATGGACAAGGAGCACCAGGACCTGGAGAAGGTGAGGAGACTGGACAAGGTTACCTTGGCCAGAGTGCCACAGTCCTGGCAGATGAATTTTCACTAGCCAAGGAGGCCTCTTGTCTCATACTGGGTGAATCTTCTGTGTTCCAGGACTCTGGACCAAACATGTTTATGTCACATTTTTCTCTTTACTATGAAATTCTGTTCTCTATGGAAAACAGAAACCACCACCACTAACAATAAAAGAACCAGAAGCCACCCCCAATTCCACTAGGAAAATTAACTATGAACAACCATCTATTCCTTTGTTTTCTCTGTCCAAATATAGTGTGTGATGGTTACTGTTGACAGGATCTAGGATCACCTAGGAGACAGACCTCTGGGCATGCCTGTGAGAGTCTGGAGACTGGGTTAACTGAGGTGGGAAGACCCACTGTAACTGTGGGTGGCATCATTCCATGGGCTGGAGTCACAGACTAAATAAAAAGAGACAGGAAGTAGAACACCAGCATCTGTCTCTCTCTGCTTCCTGACTTTGGATACCATGTGACCGGCTGCCTCAGGCTTTTGGTGCCATGACTTCCCTGACATAATGGACTTGAATGATGAGCCAGAATAAACTCTTCCTTTTCTGAGATGTCTTTGTCCAGTATTTTAAAGAAGCAATGAGAAAAGCAACTAATGCATGGGGCCACTTGGCATCTGCCACTTCTCTTTAGGGAACTAGAGAAAGTGAACTCAGCTCATCAAATGGTCTTTTACCATCTCTCCTCCACACAGCAGAATTTCTGGAGCTTATTCACCCAGTCCCTCCGTGTCAGTCTCCCTCTTCCTGCTGTGAGGAAACCTCTGAAGCAAGACTAGGGAATATACCTTTGGGCTCTAGGCTTTGACAACAGAACCATGCCAGAAGCTCTTCTGTTCTCTCGAGTTTGAGGAGTCAGGGTTCTGCCCTTCACACAGCTCTAGGGTAGTGAGTGATTCCTGGAGATGTGCAAAGGGGAATAAATAGCAGTGCTGACTGATAAATGCAAATTCCCTGTGCCCCTCTCACTTCCCCATCCAGCAATTCTGAATCAGTGAGTGGAAGGTGGGGCCCAAGAATGTGTTGAGTGGAGCCCCGATTTAGAGAGTAGGCCCCAACAGAGCTGCCATCTAAGCATGAAGAAACTAAACATCCATTGTTGGGCCCTGCTGGATTCAGGGTTCCATCTCAGAGAAGTCAGATGGGGGTTTGCCTGTTCCACAGTGGGGCTACATTCAGGAGTGCTGAGCAGTACCAAGGCAAGTACCTGTGAGAGTCCTGGGCAGTGTCGAGACACATCACCCTCACTAAGAGTCACACACTGCCTTTGCCACTCAAACCACTGTACATGGACCAGCCACAGCCCACTGCAAGTTAGAAACTGAGCTTATTAGAAATACGGATCTTGCCGGGTAGTGGTGGTACACTCGGAAGGCAGAGGCAGGCAGATCTCTGTGAGTTTGAGGCCAGCCTGGTCTACAGAGTGAGTTCCAGGACAGCCAAGGCTACATGGAGAAATCCTATCTTGAAAAACAAAAACAAAACAAAACAAAACAAAAAAAGAAATACAGATCTGGGTCTGAGCGAGGGCCGACATCAGCAAGCTCCCCACATGACATGTGAGTGTCAAAACAGCACCATGGCTGTTTGTCCGGGACAAACAATCAGAGAGAACACCCCTGTTTCCTTCCTAGTGTTCTCAGAGGTCCAGTCATGCCCAGTCTGTAGGCAGGGACTTCAGCTAAGGCTAAATGACTTGGTGAAGGACCCAGAAGCTGCAGCACAAACCCC